GAAATAACCTCATGTGATTTAGTTCCTCGGTTTGGAGGTTTAGGGCCATGGTTTCATGGGACAACCCAGTTAACTGGTCTAATAATGTGTTCAGTGCTTTTGTTCTACCTCCTAGTTTTTGCATAGTGCCTGAGGTCTTAAAAGCTTACAGGTGGCCATCAAATGCACAGCAATTGGTCTCTATTCACCTGGAGCAACAGGGGAAGGAGAAAGAGGACAGGAATAACTCCTCAGAAGGAAGATGGGGTCAGAAACCCAAGGAGGGGTTGCTATGAGTCAGGTCCGACTTGATAGCACATAACAACAACAACATGGACTCTGGCTAATGGCCTCCATGAACAAACTGCCTCCTTTGCCATGAGACCAGAAGAACTGGATGGTGCCCATGAACCTCTTGATCAAAGGTCCCATAGAAGAATCCTGATCAAAAGGGAGGAAATGCAGAACAGAAGTTCAAAATTCTCAGGGATTCTAGACTTTCTGGAACCATGGAGGGTAGATGAACCCCTGAAATTATTGCCCTGAAATAATCTTTAAACCTTAAATCAAGAAAAGTAATTTTAAAACCAAACAGTAGTTTGAATTAACTAGTAAACAACGGTGGCTTTGAGTATGATGCTCTTTTAAGAACTCTTTGGGATCAAATTGATGACAACTTGGAAGATTAGGTAGAAACCTTAGGGTGCAGTGAATTAATGCTAATGAGGAGGAACAACTCCTTAAAGGAAGGTGAGAATGGTTGCACAACTCAAAGAATATAATCAATGTCGCCTTGTACATATAGAAGCTATTGAATTGGTGTGTGTTTTGATGTGCACATTCTCAACAACGGCAACAAAATAAATAAAATTTAGGAGGAAAATAAATAAATCACCATCCAGGACCATGGTTAAATAATAGTCAGGAGCGTCTGACTCGTCACTGATTGAAACCTGCCATTCGAGTCTCGGGCTGTGTCTCCAGGCCAGGATAGCTCAGGACCACCTCTGGCTTCTCATTTCTTCCCTCCTGCCCAGAGAATAACCACCAGTCTTTGAACCCAAAGCTGGTCAAGACACCTCCAGAGCAGTGTGGAGTGCAGCTCTCCCGCTCACACTGCTGCCTGGCCTCAGCCCTCAGCCCTCTCAGGAACCCCTGCACCAGCCCCGACGGGTCTTCCCACCCCCAGTCTTACTCTCCCTCAGGCCCGTCCTGATTTCAGCAGCCCAAGTACCCAGGCCACCATGCCATGCCAAAGATACCCCGCTCTGCTGAGAGCCCCTAATGGACCTCGCTCTGTGTGTGTGTGGCCCCAAGGCCCCCATGGTGGGACCCTCCCCACTTCTCTGGCCATCTCTCTCAGAATGACGCCAACCAGACTGCTCGTAGTTCCTTCAACATGCCAAGATGCCCCATGCCTCTGCTTCTGCCCTGCCTTTGCCTAGGATGTCCTTCTGCCTTGTCTTCCCGGTGACCAGCCAACAGCTCTTCTCGTCTTCACCAAGGCTCAGCTCCCACACCATCTCCTTCCTGGAGCCTTTGCCAGCTTTGTGCTCAGACCTCCCGGTGCCTGATATTTCCACACAGCCAGACGCTATCTTTGCACGCCATTGTCCTTAGTGGTTACAGCACAGGTTTTTTGGAGTTAGGAAGATCTGGGTTCAAATCCTGCCAGTTCTACCACTGAGTAACTATAAACGCCACTTGACACCTAAAAAGCTATTGCCCTCTGTAGACTGGGAATACATGGACCCTGCATTTTGAAAGTTCACTTTACACCACTTCACTTTTACAAAAGACTTACATTGGTACTTACTTTCATTAACCGAAAGAAATCTGAAGAGGATTTTCACTTTTACGAAAAAAGACAAAAAGTGAAACTAGCGTTCAACCTTTGTTTTGCGGCGGGCAGTTAAAGAGGTCGCGTGTACCCCGAGCTGTGAGGGTGGCGCCACCAAGCTCCTTCCCCGGGAACTGCACTCAGCATCTCAGCATTAAGCCACCATGGCTTTGATCTGTGTCTGTAAACACTCCATGTTGTGTTAGTATAGGGTTCATGTTAGTTGGTATGATTTGGTAGGTTATTTTGGGGGTCTGGCAATGCTTGAAAATTTTCCCATATAAATTAATGGTGATTGTGTCTTTGCTCTATGCCATTTCGGCTTACAGAAGGTTTTATAGGGAGTCTCTACTTTTGGATAGCAGGGGAAACTTGTAATCTTATCTACCTGTGAGGCTTAGCCTATGGTAGGCATCCAAGTGTGATGCTTATTATGGCTTTAAAAACAAAACATGTCTAGTATGTATGTTCCATGAGGGCAGAGACTGTCCGCTCCTTGGCTCCCTGGTGCCCAGCCCCGAGCCTGACAGGAAGAGGGCGATGAGTGAATGGATGGAGCAGGTGAGAGGGAAGAAAGAAAACAGAGTCTGCCATTGTGACTAACGCTCTGATAGGCTTCTGTGATGTCTTAGTTAACATGCACCTTGTGGAGGCTTCATTTCTGGGGACCTGGTATAGGAAGGAGATGTGCTCAGTTTTCTGAAGTCATTTGTACACAGTGAGCCCCAAACTGGCTAGTGGGTACAGTCATAGCCCTGGATCCAACCTCAACCCCTTTACTCAGTGCTCACATGAACAGAGGGGCTGGTTTCCAGCCAAGAACGGATGGCCACCACCAGGACGGCTCGTGTGTTTGGGAGCCAGAAGGCACCCCAAGCTGCCCGAGCAGCCCGGGGTGCAGGGGGGTGCAGGCCAGGGCAGAAGGGGAGCAGGAGAAGGTTCCAGATGCTGAGTTTCCACTGCTGGCAGTGACATCACACCCCCCGCCTTGTGTCTGGTTTGGCCCTGGCATCAGCTGCAGCCACTCTGTAGAAATGTTCCTTTGCATGGAATTGCTGACAGTGTTGCATTCATCACACCAGCAGGTTGCTAGCTGTTTTTGAACCTGGCACCATCCCTAGACTTCTTACACGGTTGAAACTCTTTTTTCTGTTTCATACTAAATGTTCTAAACACATGTGAACTAGCCAGAAGAGTTTCTAAACACAGATGTTCAGGAGAGTTCTTGTTCCTTGCTGGCACATCTGTCGATCACTCGTCTCCTGGGAACAGAGGCTGGTGGTCCGCTAATCCAACGCAGTGGCACAGCCAGAGGCCATCCTGAGCCCTGGGGCTCTCCAGGACTCTCAGGCTTGGTACTCCCCTGTGGTTGACTCCACACGTCGGCACTGGAGGGGAGAGCCCCGTAGGTTCCACAGGTCCCCACGGAACCCTGATGCAAAGCATTAGCTCAGAAAAGGGATTTGCAAGAAGCAGGAGTCCCTGCATCCCTCACCCCAAGCAGCCTGTGCTGGTGAAATGAAAACAGGGCAGTTTTCCATGGTCCCTAGAGAGGAGCTTACTCTGCGGCCCTCAGGGCTCCCCCTGGTTGTGGGTATCCTTGATCCATGAACAGGGGAGTCTCTGCGGTCACCAGAGAGAAAGCCACGCTCAGTCTGGTCCTGGCACAGCAGGGAGGGAAGGCATGCCAGCATCCTCTTCCTCCCAGGGTCAGAGAGTCCTATGAAAATGGAAAAACAGAAAGGGCATTTACAACACAATGACCTTGAGGCGGAAGATCCACAGCCAGACCACATAGACATCACCAGGGATCTGACAGGCAGGATGTCCGCCCTGAGGGACCGTTGTTACCACATCTTGGAGCAGAGTCCTTGAGGGCCACAGACAGGTTCCTGGCATTCAGCGGTACCCTCTCGCAGCACCCAGCACCCAGCACCCAGCCAGGAGCCTTCCAAGCCATTGACACCTTTGGGGATAAATGCTGATGGATTTTCAACAGCATAATTGTTGTTGTTGTTATTTGCCATCAAGTCAGCCCCAACTCATAGCGACCCCCTCCTTGGGTTTCCAAGGCAGTATCACTGCGGAAGTAGGAATGCCCAACCTTCCCTCCGAGAAGTGGCTGGTGGGTTTGAACTGCTAGCCTTCTGGTTAGCAGTCAAGTGCTTTAGGCACTATGCTACCAGAGCTCCTAACAGCATAATTGGCCAAATCAAATTCTAGTGTTCTGTCTGTCGTTGGGTGCCATCAAGTTGATCCCAACTCATAGCGACCCACGTCCAACAGAACAGAACCCTGCCCGGTCCTGCACCATCCTCCCAGGCCTTGCTGAGCCCATTATTGCAGCCACTGTGTCGGTCCGTCTCATCGAGGGTCTTCCTCTTATTTGCTGTCCCTCTACTTTACCGAGCAGGATGGCCTTCTCCAGGGATTGGTTCCTCCTGATAACATGTCCGAAGTATGTGAGACAAACTGTCACCACCCTCATTTCGAAGGAGAATTCTGGCTCTTCTGTGACTATTAAATGCATCACAAATCTCTCGTTGGCCCTGTTTAGACAAAGAAATAAGGCCGCTGGCAGACCAGCCAGCCACTGGATCCAGCTTACCCCGTGTGCATTGCACAGGGTTTGCGCAACAGAGGTCGGGGAGAGCCAGGCAGAGATGCTCTCAGGGAGTCCCTTTGTATGGGCTCAGCCAGTGTCTTGTCCTTGGCCTTGCAGGATCCGAGCCACCCAAAGACAAGACCATCATCCTGGAGCAGCTGCGCAAGATCTCGCTGCCGCTCTACAGCATCCTCTCTGCCCTCACCATCCTGGGCATGATCATGGCCAGTGCGTTCCTCTTCTTCAACATCAAGAATCGGAATCAGAAGTAAGCTGCTCACACCCCGCGCCCAGACACAGTGCGGGAGCCTCGCCTGGCAGCAGACTCTCCAGGGGCGGTTCTTAGGACAGGTTTTCCTGAAGTGTTTGGCCAGTCACTGGGATGGTGTTAGGTGTTACACTCACACACACACATGCACATGCACACACACAGGCCGGGCTGCACGCTGCACCACTCTCTTGTTATTGGTAACTGCCCTTGAGTCAGCCTCTGAGTGATGGCGACCCCATGCACCACAGAATGAAACATTACCGGGCCCTCCACCATGCCCATGACTGCTTGCAGATTGGATGATAGTGATCCACAGGGTGTCCTCTGGCTGGTTTTCAAAAGCAGATCAACTGGCCTTTCTTGCCAGTCTGTGTTAGTCAGGAAGTTCCACTTACACCTGTTCAGCGTCATAGTAACAGGCAAGCCTCCCGTGACGTGTGTTCTCAATGCCTCCGTGCACACGTGCAGAGGGTGTCACGTGTGCTGTGGCTCCTGTGCAGGCTGCACGGACACAGACAACAGCGTGGCGTGGCCTCTGGGCCTGCGGAGCACTGTCGGCATGCACGGAAGTCAGCGAGTTTGGGGAAGACTGGGTTAAATATGATTGAATGGCACGAGTCCACAGGTCTCCTCAGAGCTTAGATTTGCTTGTGCCCGTTACGGTGCTCTGTGGGGAGACGTGAAGAACAGAAGTCCCCAGATTTCTCTGCCCCCTGCCAGCATCTTTGGGAAGCACTGCCCGTTTGTTGTCGTCAGGTGCCGTCGAGTCATCTCCGACCCCTAGCGACCCTGTGTACAACAGGACGAAACACTGCCTGGCCCTGTGCCAGCCTCAGCACTGCTGGAGGGGGTCACTATCACTTTGGTACCGTTGGTACCGTTGGTACAGCATGTTACAGTGTGGGAAGCCCCTCCCTTATGCCATCTCTCCTGACCTTCCCACTAGCCCTGTGTCCCAGATGGGAGAGATGGAGGGGCGCTGTCCCAGGCCACACTGCTGTGACCTTCTGCTTTCCATGCTGATCTCATCCTCCTGACGCCCTGTGAATGACAACAGTCCAATCCACAGCCGATCACGGGGCTGGCTCAGAGAAGCTCCCTGAGCCACTCTGGTCGGTCATGGGTAGGTCAGGCCACCCTCCCAGGCGGCAGTGTTTACAAAGCACAGCCAGCTTCTCTGGTTTCCATAGCAAATCTCAGAACCCAGGTCCCTGCCTTGTGGGAAAAGCCAAGCAGGGGCTCAGAGAGTGGGCTGTCGCAGGGCACAGCCTCAGTGCCACCCACGCAGTGTCACGGCTCTGCCGCCATGCCCAGAAGCCACATACGTGACCTCACAGGCTGCCAGGAACGAGCAGGGGTCCAAGGAGAACAGTTGGGTTTTTTTTTCTCCCTGCTTGCAGACAATTTGGAGGCTCTTGTTTTTTTCTTTTGGTTGCAATTTCTTACATCAAATCTGTTTTTTGAAGAGCAAAAAAGGAGTTTTATTCACCTGTTGTTTCTTTTATTTATCACAAATAACACATATACGCCACAGACACACACAACGGAAGCAACTTCTATCTATTCAGTACAAACGCCAGCCAGGACCATACTTGTAAGTATCTGGCACATAGTCAGCTCTCAGTTAGCACTAGGTCCCCTTCCTAAAAGCCCCAAGAATTCCCACTGTGACAGCAAATTGCTCCAATTTTAAAATTGCATGCCTTTAACTCCTTAACTGCCCCCCTCAGCCACCTGGTGGGAAATTATCATTCCTCTTTCCAATAGAGGCTGTCCTCCAGATAGATTTTTTTGACTGGCTTGGGTATTTGAAAATCTGCAAAGAGATAGGAAGTGAATGTCGTTGGGGTTCCAAATCGCCTCTCATTTCTATCTCCCTAAATGCTACTCAGCCCTTAATGCCCACCTCCTCCAGGAAGCCTGCCCCAACTCCTGGCCTCTCCCTTCACCAACCTCCTGTGGTAACAAGAATGACGTTGCCCTAACGGTTCCTGGTTTACAAAGTACCTCCACACTCAGCCTCAGCTTCCCATGCACCCTCGCCAGAGTGGTCAGTACTCCCGTTTCAGGGTGAAGTAACTCACCTTCAGGAGGTTAAGTGACTTCCCCAAGGGTGCACCGTTATAGGGTGGCAGCACTGAGCACTGGCCCCAGGGCTCCCCAGTGGAAAGCCAGGGCAGGGAGGGGCCCCAGTTCCCACCAGGGTTTGTGTCTGTTTCTTTGTTAATGTGGAAGGATTACTAGAACTCCATAAAGCAAAAGAAAGTGTTAGGGGAACAAAAGACCATAATTACAGTATGCAAAACAGCACCTGGAACCTGGGGTGCCAGGAGATGTGAGAAGCCGTGACTGAGTGAACTGGTAGACTCGGCACCTCTGTCAGTAGACCCCAGCCCGCTGATGCTGTAACCCAGCCTGGCTTGCTGGGTGCTAGGCAGCAGGATCCCTGGAGGAAGTGAGGGAGAAGCATGTCGAATTTGGGAATATCAAGAATGCCCCCAAACACAGCCTGGCGAAGGCGAGGGTGGGGGTGGGATGGGGACTCTGTTGTCGGCCTCCATCGCCAGTGAGTGGGAGGCGTCCTGCCCATGCTGTGTTGCGCAGGACAGTGTAAGTGAATCCTGCAGCTAACGTGGACACTCCTCCCCATGCGGTGCCGCAGGTCCTGAGTGACCCCGAGTTCTCACCTGCAGACCTCCTAGACCTGCTCCATTCAGGGCCGGACAGTGTGGCGTGAGAATCTCCCTCCTCACACTCCAAGGCTCCTGAGCTTAAATGTGGAGTGCTCTGGGTTTGGCCTGTCTTCCCAGCTCCAGCCAGAAACACCTGTTGACTTAAAGCTTTTGTGTAAAATGAAAATTGATGGTTGAATAAGCTGATGCAATGATGATGGCCCTAGAGAAGTGGTAGATGAACTTGAGAGAGGAGACAGGAAATGAACAAGTAGAAATATCTAGCGGTCTGGGTCATTTAGTGAAGGAACAAGAACCCCTGGGGAGGGGCTTACATCCTCCCTCTACCATCAACCGTTGACAGCATGTACACATGGTATGCTACAGCAGGCATTCAGAAATACAGTTGAAAGAATAATGGAATGACCAGTCTGTTAAATAGCCTCTCTCTGTTTCGTCAGGTTGATCAAGATGTCTAGTCCATATATGAACAACCTCATCATCCTTGGCGGGATGCTCTCGTACGCATCCATATTTCTCTTTGGCCTGGATGGATCCTTTGTCTCTGAAAAGACCTTTGAGACACTTTGCACTGTAAGTAGTTCTTCACAGTCTAATGGTCCATGGTGTCAAGTGTTCTTGGTGAGCTCAGTCATCAGAAGCATAGACACAAATGCAGAAATTCTTGAAAAGTTTCATGGACAGGCAGAAAACCACCCATTGAGCAGTTCATGCAACTCACTGGGGAAAGGTGGTGCAACTTGCACACCAGAATGGACTGAAGAGTAACCTGCAAAATTAAGATGGATTTTAGAGGCCACTGCTAGAAGAGAGCCCACCGAGACAGGACTAGGTAACACAGAAAGAGGAGCGAGAAAAATTACCCACCAGAAAAGCAGAGTTGGGTCCGTTTGTGAAGGCACAGATTCTCCTACTTACCCAACGCTCATCGCAGAGTGTAGTGAGAGATGTTTGAGTGGACAGTGTTGAGTCACACATAAAAGAGTGGAACCATTATTTACGATGGAAGCAGAGTTTCTCAGCCATTTTTTTAATTCATTATTGCTCCTCTGAGGAGCTTTTTAAAACACAATTCCCCAGTTACCTGCCTGCGAAGCGTTAATGCCATTGATACACTGTTTACATTTAGGAATGTCAATGAGTTGTAAAATCAACTTGATGACAGTGGGTTTGGAGTTTTGGTTTTCACCATGCGTCTGTCTATTAAGAAACCAAAGCCCATTGCCGGGGGGTGGCTCCGACTCGTCGCGATCCCCGTGCCAGAGAAGCCAAACTGTGCTCCAGATGGTTCTCAGTGGCTGACCTTTCAGAAGCAGGTCACCAGGCCTTTCTTTAGACGCACGTCTGGGTGACCTCAAACCTTCAGCCTTGGAGCAGCTGAGCTCATTAACCATTTGCACCACCTGGGAAGTTATGTATATCCATAGTTTAGACATAAAAAGATTTTTTTTTTTTT